AACTGATAAAGAAAAATTATGAATTTCATTGTTTTCAGAAGCATCCTCACTTTACAGTATTTTTCTCAAGTCACTTAAACATTTACAGTAGTGTATTAAAATAGTTTTTGCTAGTAAACATTTAGAGATAATAGAGTGTGCCCTTGACACAGTTGGTTTTCTAAAGAGAGTGTACTGCAAAAACGGTTTTTGTCTTCAGACTCCCTCTCTCAAAAACTGTCATCCACTCTCATCTAAACAGCATAGGCAGGTAAGGACATGGGTCACACATTCTGTTGTGTTTAATTTGAGCTAACTTTTTGTGGAACATTAGAGAGAACCATACCTAAAGAGCAATGATTGACATTCGCAGCCTTTCTCCAGCCATATTACAGTCATGTCTTTTCCATCTTATTTTGATTGGCCAAAGCCTTTTCACCATATATATCTTTTCCATCTTATTTTGATTGGCCAAAGCCTTTTCACCATATAGGCTGCAATACTCATTTTTTTTATAGATGTATTTATTTACTTTATAATATCGCTTTAAAAGTATGTCCTTCCTTTCAGTTAAAATCGTTTGTATTGAAAACAAGAGCTTCTGTAGCAAGCCAGCTCCATTTTCTGTACGGAAAGTGGTTGGCAGTGCAGAAAATTATTGACGTGTTCTGTCTTTAGAACTGTTTAGTAATCAGACTGACAGAAATCTATGTCATCAATAATGTGATTTTCAGGAAGACTATGGTACTACCATTTAGTTCAATCTTTAGCTACTCTCTTGTGTCCTGGGCTTACTGTGTAGAGATGTATGCAGAAAATTCAAACATAATTCACCGAGACAAAGATCTAAGTGGAAGGCTTGACAGCTAATTGTGGTATGCAGTTTAACGAAGGGCAGGCTAATCATTGTATTTAAAATATCATGTATTATTATACTGTTTTTATTGGGCAAAATCTTTAACATTTTTTTTAAGTGGGTGATGTTTGCATATATGGGTTTTGCAGGCTTGCACTCATAGAAAAACCAACTGATAAGGAGACCAGTAAAGGCTGGCTGTATAATAATTTAACCACAGGAATCAAAGGAGTTTATCATAAAATGATTGCTTAGACACCCTTTTTAAAATGCTGTAAAGTAATTAGTATGCAACCGTGCTAATTGTTTTGTTTTCGAATGGCATAAAGTCTTAGCAAAGTGATTGCTTTTAATAGTGAACTATAATCTTTTAAAATATGTTTGCGATGTGCATGTGAAAAAGATCAGAATTGGGTAAGTCTTGTTAGTGTCTGCTAATGTATTAAATACCTTGCTGTTATGCATAGTTTATAATTATGTATGTGTATAAACATAGCTGTATTTGCCAATTACCTATGCAAATTCTGCTTTTGCTCAGTTGTGTTGCAGAACGCTGTACCTTGCTAATACTTATTCTATTCTACAGGTCTAGCAGACAGGTCTACCAGACAGGGTCTGCCAGTTTGTAAACCATAAATTCCTGTAGTCTCACATTCCCAATGATCCCGATAGCCAGAGACTATTTGATTTTATAGGATGCCTGTAGATTACATTCGGGAGTTTAAGTTTTTGTATTCATGGCAAGACTGTGATACATTTTGTAACCAAAATAATAAGGTGAGCAATCAGTAATTCAGACGAGTGCTACATATTTGTGTGCATTGTGGATTTTATTATTAGTATAAAAGATTTATATACAGTAGCAGTGCAGCGCTGACAATAAGACCTAAATTGATTAATAATAAAAAATGTCCATCATAATGCAGATGTAAGTCCGATCAGATGGAACAGATATAATAGAAAAAGCCGATAGTCCTTGAGGGTCCCTGGTAGGTAAACCTTAATAATGGTGATCAAAAGAGAAGACACAAGGGAAGATTCTCCACCGCCACACCAAATAAACTGCCTCTTCCCAAATGTTTTGACCTCCCATCAGGAACAGCCAAAAAGTGCAGTAAGGATAACACCATAGGTTATCATAGCAGAACTTCCAACCTTTATTGCAATGGCCAAAGAACAAAGGTATACTGCTCAGGCAAGCAATCCAGATCAATCCACAACAGGTGCAAGCTCTGGCTCACCACCACACACGATGCAATAGGAAGAAGTGTCAGCCGCACACCGGAGGATAGATGAATATAGTGTGTATTTATTGATCCATACAAAACACCAGGACATGAATACAGGACATGTTAATGCGTTTCACACGATCTCCTGCTTAATCATAACCATTAAGCATGAGATCGTGTGAAACGCATTAACGCCCTGTATTCATGTCCTGGTGTTTTGTGTGTCCTATGGATCAATAAATACACACTATATTCATCTATCCTCCAGTGTGCAGCTGACCCTTCTTCCTATTTATCGCAATGGCACCACTCTTAATGGACAAACCAGCTCCAGCCAAATAGATAGCAATAATCCAGCATGTAGACCAATGGAAAAAAGCCATCTTATAGTATAGTAAATTAGTGCAAAAATAATTTAAATTCAAGAAATACATTCACATTTAACAGCTTAACCAGATACCCCCCACCCTAAAGCAGAAATACTGCTACAGCGCGGCAGGGCTTCGCAAAGTAGAATGTGTATATACACGTGATTTGCATTTCCGGGTAGGGGGTGCACATGACGCCCTAGCCAGAATGACGGGAAGAAAAAATTGTGGAGAAGGCTTGGAACAGCTCATGATCCAAAGAACACAACATCATCTGTAAAACATGGTGGAGGCAGTGTGATGGCATGGGCATGCATGGCTTCCAGTGGCACTGGGTCATTGGTGTTTATTGATGATGTGATAGAAGACTGAAGCAGCCGGATGAATTCTGCAGCGTTTAGAGATATACTGTCAGCCCAGATTCAGCCAAATGCAGCAAAGTTGATTGGACGGTGCTTCACAGTACAGATCGACAATGATCCAGAACACACTGCAAAAGCAAACCAAGAGGCTTTTGAAGGAAAAGAAGTGGAATATTCTGCAATGGCTGAGTCAGTCACCTGATCTCAACCCCATTAAGCATGCATTTCACTTGCTGAAGGCAAAACTAAAGGCATAAAGACCCACAAACAACTGAAGACAGCTTCAGTTAGAGCCTGGCAAAGCATCAGAAAGGAGGAAACCCAGTCTTTGGTAATGTCCATGGGTTCCAGACTTCAGGCAGTCATTGCCAGTAAAGGATTCTCAACAAGATATTAAAAATTAACATTTTATTTATAATTATATTCAATTGTCCAATTACATTTGAGCCCCTGAAAATGGAGGGACTGTGTATAAAAATAGTTGCAGTTCCTAAAATTTGTACTTGATATTTATGTTCAACCCCTTGAATTAAAGCTGAAAGTCTGCACTTCAAATTCATTTGGATTGTTTTAATTTATTCTGGCGGCATACAGAGCCAAAAGTATGTGTGTGTGTGTGTATGTGTGTACATGTATGTATGTATGTATGTATATGTATATATATATATATAAATAAATGAAACCTCATACATATAAAAAAATTCCAGAATAAAATACACCCCCAAACGCCAATAAAGTCTTCCCGAACTTTCTGTTATTAATGCATGCATTTATGTTTCATTCAAGTCGATAAAGCCATTTGGTAAGAGGTAGTTTATTTGGTGTGGCGGTGGAGGTTCTTCCTTTGTGTATCCCTCTTTTGATCACCATCATCTAAGGTTTACCTATCGGGGACCTCATGGACTGATCGGGCTTACATTTGCATTATGATAGATATTTTTTATTATTATGCAATTTAGGTCTTATAGTTAGCGCTGAACTGCTATATAAATATTGTATAAAAATAATAAAATTCACACCGCACACAAATATGTAGCACACATGTCAGAATTGCCGATTGTTCACCTTATTATTTTGGCCATGAATACAAAAACTGAAAATCCCCAAAGTAATCTACAGGCATCCTATAATAATTCAATTCAAGTCTTATAGTTAGCGTTTCGCTGCCATCTTATTTTTCTGATTATATTGTTACCTATGATATTGTGCTAGTGGCTTTCTCTTATTGTGATATTTGTGCACTAGAGTATTTATTTATGCATGTTATATGTCATATAGGATTTATATAGCGCCAACAGTTTGCGTAGCGCTTTACAATATATAGGTGGACCGTACAATACAGTTCAATACAGAAGGAATAGATCATGGAGCTTACAATCTAAAGGAAAGGGGTAGGTGGTTCAAAAGGTGATAGCTGCAGGGGATGATCTGATGGAGGTGACTCAAGTACAGTTCTTAGGTGGAGGTAGGGTAGGTTTCCCTGAATAAGTGAGTTTTCAAAGATTGCCAAAGAAGGACAGAGTGGAGGCTGACAGGACATACTGGGGTAGGGAGTTCCAGAGGATGGAGAAGTTCTGGAGGTGAGCATTTTAATGATAGCTCCACTTTAAAATAAAGGATGAAGAGCCAGGGGATCCTGTAGCGATTTATGCAACTTTGCCATTTATAGTTACAAGTCTGCATGCCCCCTAGTTCTTCCATAGGAAGAAGTGATAAAAAAAAAGCATTTTAATGGTTGCTAACTATAAGAAAATGAAATCACTTTGAAGGCAGACTAATTCAGTAAACTGTGACTAACTGCAACTGTAATTTTTATAATTAATTTCCCCTTACTGTTCACAAACTTGCTGTTAAAACTATATTTAAGGCCTTAAAGTGGAACCAAAGAGTAATATAAAAAAAAACGTGAGCATGCAGGCTCTTTAATGTAGAAGAGACATGCATTTTTTTTTTGCATGTTGAACCACCAATCCAGAGTGCTCACTGCTACCAATTAGATTCAAAACTGATACTTACATGCATCAAGCCCACCATATGTGAGACAGCAAGGAGCCTACCGAGGTTTTGTTGGGGTACCACTCTCTTGCATCATAAATATTCCAAATGTTTACATTTCACTGGAGCGTACCTTCAAAACACGATAATTCCATTCAGAATGTCATTCTATGCCAACAAAAGTAATATTTTTTTTTTGTTTTATTTTTAGAATAAACTAGGTGACCAAGGAAATCTCAGTGACCTAGTAAACCTAATCTTAGCAGCAGCAGATGGTAATAAAGATGGACATGTGTCGCTACCAGAGGCCAAGTCTGCCTGGGCACTTCTACAGCTAAATGAGTTTCTACTGATGGTGATCTTGCAGGACAAGGAGCACACTCCAAAGCTACTCGGCTTCTGTGGTGATTTGTACATAACAGAGCGTGTGCAATACACATCACTCTATGGAATAAGTCTACCATGGATCATCGAAGTATTTGTTCCACAAGGACTAAGGAAACGCATGGACCAGTGGTTCACTCCATCATGGCCAAGGAAAGCTAAGATAGTCATAGGTCTTCTAGAGTTTGTAGAAGACATTTTCCATGGACCCTATGGAAATTTTCTTATGTGTGACATAAGTGCCAAAAACTTTGGTTACAATGACAAATATGACTTGAAAGTGGTTGATATGAGAAACATTGTCGCTGAAATGAACTTGAAAGAATTAATCAAAGACCGACCTTGTGAAGTTGATGTTGACTGTGTATATGGTACTGACTGCAGCACTGTGTGTGACCAAAGCAAAAAGAGATGCACTGCAGACATAACCCAACCAAATTTAGCAAAAATATGCCTGTTGGTGAAGGACTACCTGCTTCGAGGTACCCCTTCCGAAATTCAAGACGAGCTAGAGAAACAGATCTACTCATGCATTGCCCTAAAAGCTGCTACAAATAACATGGAGATGCAACATTCATTAATTTTAAACAATCTTAAAGCCCTTTTATGGAAGAAGATATCCCATACTAATGATTCGTAACACCCAATGTCTCGATTCCATCAGCCACTATCAGATAAAAGCACTTGTGTGTTGATATGTCTACTTTATTTTTTACAAACATTTTTTTTATCAAAATGTTGAATCCTTTGGTTTGGGAAATATTGAAAAATGAAACAAGATAGTATTCCTCCTTTGGGGCTATCAATGTGTCAGTTACAGAAACTGTTGGTATGTGAATGCATATTGTCATTAGACCATTGCCATCCCATTGATTCTTGTTCCTCTGCAGTGATTGGTGGACTGGGTCTGTCTTTGCATTGCGGGACATTGGTAAAAGTTTGTCTCTCGTCTGGTCTCACCTCATTCTATACTTTCAGGATGTTACAATGCTGTGAAAATTGCCTCCTAAACTTCTAATGGTGGAACTGAAGGCATTTTTATACTATTAGCTATTTTTTTTTTTTTTTTTTTTTTTTTTTAAGAACGCTGGCCAAAATACCACTTCTGCCATAGTGTGGTTGAATAAAAGCTGCTGTTTTAATGTGTGGAACTAAAACAAAAAACTCAAGTTTACTGATACGTTAGCATGGAAAATTTGCACACTCCTATTCAGAACATAAGTAAACGCTAACTTGTCATTAAAATGTGGACTGTCAAATGCGTGGTTAAGGTGTTATTAAACTGTGATTGCATTTTTTTTTCTATGATCATGATATGGTTCCATTCCATAGGAGCTTCCTATAAAAGGAGAACTGTGGGGCCAATCAGATTTCTTTGTCCCTTGTCAGATCTACTTTACAGAAATGGTAGTCGCTCTGGTTGTTATGAGTGGCACTTCCCTCTTTTCTTTTCTCTCACAGTGCCTATTCATACTCCTTAAAATGTCCCACATTTTGTTAGGTTACAACTAAAAAAGGAAATGTATTTTATTGGGATTTTATGAGATAGACCAACACAAAGTAATAGTAAAAGTGGAAGGAAACTGATAAATGGTTTTCAAATTTTTTTAAAAAATACCTGAAAAGTGTGGCGTGCTTTTGTACTCAGCCCCCCCCCCCCGAGTCAATACTTTGTAGAACCACCTTTCGCTGCAACTATAGCTGCAAGTCTTTTTGGGTATGCCTGTACCAGTTGTGCAGATCGAGAGAGTGAAATTTTTTTCCCATTCTTCTCTGCGAAATAGCTGAAGCCCTGTCAGATTGGATGGAGAGCATCTGAACAGCAATTTTTAAGTCTTGCCGCAGATTATCAATTTGATTTAGGTCTGGACTTTGAGCCATTCTAACACATGAATATGCTTTGATCTAAACCATTCCATTGTAGCTCTGGCTGTATGTTTAGGGTTGTTGTCTTGCTGGAATATGGACAGTGGAGAATGGCTCCATCCATCTTCCCAACAACTCTGACCAGCTTTCCTGTCCCTGCTGAAAAAAAGCATCTCCACAACATGATGCTGCCACCACCATGTTTTACGATGGGGATGGTGTGCCCAGGGTGATGTGCAGTGTTATTTTTCCGCCACACATAGCAGTTTGCTTTTAGGCCAAAACGTTAAATTTTGGTCTCATCTGATCAGAGCACCTTCTTCCACATATTTACTGCGTCCCCCACATGGCTTCTTGCAAACAGGACTTCTTATGGCTTTCTTTCAACAATGGCTTTCTTCTTGTCACTCTTCCATAAAGGCCAGATTTGTGGTATGCAGGACTAATAGTTGTCCTGTGGACAGATTTTCCCACCCGAGGTGTGAATCTCTGAAGCTCCTCCAGAGTTACCTTGGGCCTCTTAGCTATATCTCTAATTATTGCTCTCCTTGCCTGTCAGTTTAGGTGGACTGCTGTGTCTTGGTAGGTTTGCAGTTGTACCGTATTCTTTCCATTTTCAGATGATGGATTGAACAGTGCTCCATGAGATGTTCAACGCTTGGGATATTGTTTTATAACCTAATCCTTCTTTAAACTTCTCCACAACTTTATTCCTGACCTGTCTATTGTGTTCCTTGGCCTTCATGATGCTGTTTGTTCACTAATGTTCTCTAACAAACCTCTGAGGGCTTCACAGAACAGCTGTATTTATACTGAGATTAATTACACACAGGTGGACTGTGGAGGTGACTTCTGAAGGCAATTGGTTCCACTAGATTTTAGTTAGGGGTATCAGAGTAAAGGGGGCTGAATACAAATGCACACCACACTTGAGATATTTATTTGTAAAAAAAATGTTAAAACCATTTATCATTTTCCTTCCACTTCACAATTATGTGCCACTTTGTGTTGGTCTATCACATAAAATCCCAATATAATACATCCACGTTTTTGGTTGTAACATGACAAATGTCAAGGCATATGAATACTTTTTCAAGACGTTGTATATATTGCTGCCACTTCAGCATGCAGTCTTATTATTCACTAGCTATCTTGCAATGTCATCTGTTAACGTGTGAAGTGGTCACTCTACACAAAACTGATATATGTTATGCTAAAATGAATTGAGGAGGAGGAGCAACCTTTTGAGACCACAATCAAGCTCAGAATGCTGGTGGAGGAAGAGGTAGAAAATGTTTCCTAGATTATTTCATCAGCTTCTAACTAAAAAATTAAATATTAGTTATTAGGTTATGCTGAAGAATTTGACTTACTACCAATATAACCGTAACCACTACAATCATAAATTACTTGCCACTTTGCCAGTGTGGGTTTTTGCAGGAACCAGCTGGTTACCTTTTCTCTGATACTTCATCTTCTTGGATGGGGGTAGGTCTTGTGTGAAGCAGAAGCACTTGACTGCCTCTTCCTAAGTGTAAGAAAGCCAGCAGCTCAAAATTGTGGCGGAAGACAGAATTTCCAAGAGCTACAAGTGTGAGACTCGCCAGCCAGCGCAAGCCAGTGCACTAGCAAACAGGTAGGTATTTCAGGATTGTAAATGTTATTTTATTTTATGTTTTTAAATGATTGCATCAAAAGAGGAGCTGCAGACATAAAATCAACAAACATTGATGCTCCTTAAAGTGAACCTGCTTTGCCTACACAAGGCAAAGTTACAGGTTTATTCTAATGCCAGCCCCAACAGTAGCAACACATACTTATCTTCTGTTGTCACATGCCCCCCCCCCCCCCCCCCCCCCCAAACTAGAAGTACTGGGTGGTTTTGATTGTACCCAGAAGCTAAACAGAAAAGATGTGTAGCAAAGGAGTTATTTGCCTCGGGTGGAATTGCAATTCAAGTGAGCTTGTTGCCTTACCTGGTATGGGCAAAGCACAGATTGACCATAAAGTTTATATAAGAATTGATGAAAAGATTTTGTAGCTTTTATTGGAAAATTGAAGAGGACACATATAACACATTTCCTATTTATGCTAATTAAGATGCTACAATAAAAGGCAGTGCATCATTAAAATGCAGTTACAGAAACAAATTGCCAATCTGTGGTTTAATTTAAGTGCCATGCTTAATTTTGCCATTAAAACAGCTACAGGCAAATATACAAAAACACCCTTTAGTGTGCTAATATGTTTCTTCAGTCATGAAATAATTCTTTAGTTTAGCCAGTGTAGTTACCTAAAAACAATTTAGCTAAGTCAGTTTAGCTGCTCAGTGCAGATTTAACATAGACATCAGGCTTGAGGTGGGAGTACAAGCTCTATATGATATTGGGTGAACAGAAGGGATCTAATTCCTTCTTTGCTGTGTAGTCAGCCCAGTACCCTCACCACTCCTCTGCTATGCAGTCACGGGGCCTGGTATCCTCACCCCTCCTCATCTGTGTAGCCCAAAACATTCACTCTTCCTCTGCTGTGTAGTCATAAGGCCCAGTACACTCAACGCTCCTCTGCTGTGCAGTCAAAAGGCCCAGTACCTCCACCTTGCATCTGCTTTGTAGTCTAAAGGCCTGGTATGCTCACCTCGCATCTGCTGTGCAGCCATAGGGCCCAATACGCTCACCCCTCCTTTACTGGGCAGTCATATGGCCCAGTACATTCACCCTCCTCTGTTGTTCAATCATACAGCCTTGTACGCTTACCCCTCTGCTGCTGTGTAGTAATAAGGCTCAGTATGCTCAACTCTTCTCTGCTGTGCAGTGATATGGCCTAGTACACTCGCCTCTCCTCTGCTATGCAATCATGGGGCCCAGTATCGCTCACTCCTCCTCTGCCATGTAGTCATAAGGCCCAGTATGCTCACCCTTCCTCTGCTTGTGCAGTCCTATGGTCCAGTAAAATCATCCCTCCACTGCTCTATAGTCATATGACTAAGTATGCTTACCCTTCTTCTGCTGTGCAGTCATACGACCCAGTATACTCACCCCTCATCTACTGTGCAGCCCAATAGACTCAACGCTCCTTTGCTGTGCAGTGATAAGGCCCATTACACTCACCCCTCCTCTACTGTGTGGTTATACAGCCCAGTATGCTCACCCCTCCTTTGCTGTGCAGTCATACGGCCCAGTTGGGGCAGTTGGATCACTCACAAGAGTGTGCATCATATCACAAATTATGGTAGGTAACACACATACATTTTTTGCGTTTTGGCTGCATACAATGAAGGAAATAAGTATTTGATCCCCTGCTGATTTTGAATGTTTGCCCACTCACAAAGACACGATCAGTCTAAAAATCAAATGGTAGGTGTATTGAGACAGAATAGCAACAAAAAATAACAAATTATGCACTAATTTGCATGTTCATGAGGGAAATAAGTATTTGATCCCCTTCACAAAAGATGATTTAGTACTTGATGGCAAATCCATTGTTGGCAATCACAGAGGTCAGACGTTTCCTGTAGTTGGCCACCAGGTTTGCACACATCTCAGGAAGGATTTTGGCCCCCTCCTCTTGGCAGATCCTCTCCAAGTCATTAAGGTTTGGTGGCTGACGTTTGGCAACTCGAACTTTCAGCTCCCTCCACAGTTTTTCAGTTTGATTAAGGTCTGGAGACTGGCTAGGCCACCAGGACATTAATGTCCTTCTTCTTGAGCCACTCTTTTGTTGCCTTGGCCATGTGTTTTGGGTCATTGTCATGCTGGAACACCCATCCAAGAT